TAGCTGAAGGTTTAAGCCAGTGTTTCTCAAGTGGATGGGATCTGGGGGACAGTTTTGCCTCTCAAGTGACATTTGCCATGTCTACATACAGTTTTGTCATCACAAATAGGGGAAGGATAGTACTGTTATCTAATGAGTAGAGGCAGAGATGTTGCTAAACAGCTCCTTCACAGTACAGATTTATCTGGCCCAAAATGTCAGTAGTGACCAGATTGGGAAACACTGCTATAAATTGATGTCACAAAATATTTACATGATTTAATTAGAGTTGTACATATTCTAGTTCATTCATAAAGCAAATAGGAGGGCCGGCCCGGTGGCGCACTGCTACAGTGCACCGCTTGGGAGTGCGGCGGTGCTCCCACAGAGGGTTCAGATCCCACATACAGACCGGTTCCCGCTCACTGGCTGCGTGAGGTGCGGACGCAACGCCAAGGGTTGCGATCCCGTTGCCAGTCCCGGTCCGGTATGGGCGCGACACTGAGGGTTGCGATCCGTTGCCAGACACGAAAAAAGACAAAATAAATAAATAAATAAATAAAGCAAATAGGAGCATTAGCATGTTTATCTGTCAAAATTCTAAAGATAATCTTCTCATTTCTATCGACCCTCTTCCCAGCAGTTTATTTGTGCAAATAAGTCACTCTTATTTTCTGTAGAACTGGAATTTGGTTCTTATGTCATAAACTCTGAGCCAGTTGTAATTGCAATCAACCCTTTTAAGGCACCTAGTAGAGCTACAGAGCTCAAAAAAATGCCTTTAAGAATGATTTAAGACTATTACTATTAAAGTATTAGTGCAATAAGTAATAATTAACTATGCTAAATTATAGCTTATAAAAATAAACTGTAGCTCTCATCCTATTTTCTATACTATTTGCTATTTTTCTGCTTAAAATGTGGTGGCAGATTCTAAATCTTAAGCTACCCCAATTCAAATGTCTAAGAGAATGACTCCTCAGAACTTGACAATTAGGTTTTTTAAATATGTTTCTAATTTTATTATATTTTTATTGAAATGTAATTGATTATACATATTTGTGGGGTACAGAGTTGACTATCAATACTTGTGTACAATATGTGATGGTCAAATCAGGACAAGTAGCTTATTCATCATTAAAATATGTAATCATTCTTGACAATTGTTTATATGTGGAAAAATAATTTATTAATAATATGACCAAAATGATTACATTTTTATTATTTCAATTATTAATATAAAGTGTTTACCTAACTTCAAAATTCTACCAGAGTTTGTTTTCAGTTTGTTATACAAAATGCATAACTATTACTAGCTTATATTTTACGGTCACTTGCCTGAGATTCTATAAGTAAATGTCAGAATTATTTGGTCAAGAGATTTCTGTTATCCTGTGCTTATCCTATTATCTTCCATTTAATTCTCCTATTTAGCTTTTCTACTTCTATTGTTCTTTATCTTTGGTTAATAACCCCTTGTTAAGAAAAAAAAAGCTTAAATAATTACATACTGCTTCTCAAGTATGACACATTTTTATATATTATGTCAGAACATTTTGATGGCATTAGTAATAATAGCTCATAAAATGCCTGAAGTTTATAGAACAAAAGGTTCTAGCCCAACTTAAAGTGTCTTATGATATATGCATATACACATAGACATAAAATGTACTGCACATAAATGCACACACTTGTGCACACACACAAACATGTGGTTTACATTCTACAGTGAACCTCCTTGCAGGAGGACATCATAGACGTTCTATATTTGGAATAGTGCCCAATAATCTCTAGGCTACAAAACCATAAATAATTTAACCAGCTAATATTGCAGGGAGAAAATTGCAGGGGAGTTCTAGTAAGCTAAACTCAATTTTCAGACCTGGCAATTCAAAGATAAAAAGCTCTTTCTTCTATGAAAAGTGTAAACAGAATCATTTGGGTTGACAGGTACTTTGGGTCTCGCTGGCACTTTCATCTCAAAGATTGACATCTCTAGAAATGAGGATGCTAATTCATCACCAAATCATGGTGGTCTTTGTCACCACTTTATCCCTGAGGGGTTAGAGACGTTAGCTCTCCCACAGATGCAAGTCTTTAGTCTTTCTCTCAGATGAAACTGTGAGTCAGTAGTCTCTTATCAAAAGAGAAAGTTGATGATTATAGCAAACTTGAAAACTGATTCTAAAATAGGCACGATTATGGCTCCTAATGCCATCCAACTTAATATCATTCACTCAGCCCCAGGGTTGTGGAACACTGCTTATATCTGTAACTCTTGGCCTTTTACTCCTGCCCTAATTCTTGTCACATGTCTTATTTCTCTTGTGTTTGTTCTGCTCTGCAGAGTCCTGTCCTGGCTGATTTTGGATTTAAAGCTATCATTAAAACACACAATTTGTAGATTTCAAATACTTTAAAAAACAACAAAATCAAGTCTTTGCTTTATGGCTTTCACGAGTGAGGAAGGGGGCATTTCATAGTATCATCTACAATCAGAGAGCACAAATAATCCTTAATTTCTCCTGAAAGGGAAGAGGGTAATGTTCTCTCCTGTAGTCCCACTCATGAACTCTAAAATGCATTTGTTTTTGGTTTGTTTTTCTTCAAGACAGAGAATGCCACCCAAGGATGAAATCCACGTTCTCTACATATTTAAGATAATATATGGCAGCCTTTAGAGTGCGGCAGGAATAAGAATTCTCAAAGTTCCAGTGTTATCAACTCCTCCCTGATTTTCAAAGATGTTAATTTTATAACCAATAGGGGAAGAACTTCACAAAATTCTAATGAGAAATTGTCTTATTAGATGCCCATTAAATGCCAGGCATTATTCCTGGAAATACAAAGATTAAAAATATATGGTCCCTTTCCTGTTGTAATTGTGCTTTCATGATGCTAATGCACTATGCACTTGAAATTCACACAGCTTTAAACCCTGTTATAAAATTTGGTTTATATACAGCACATTAAAGTTCTATAGGGAAAAGAATAGAAAATGGTTTGTGAAAAAGAGCAAAGCATTACATTTTTTTTTTGGAAAAAGAACGTTCTTATTTTCCTTCGCCTGGCAAAAGATTCACCTCATTGGTACTTAAGCTCTATAAATTGTTTTCACTCCTTGGCCAACCATGGAGGCACTGTCAGTAGTCAAAGGAAGGTGTCCTTTTATCATGATAGGAGACGATTAGAGGTGCATGTCCTGCTGTAATTTAAGGTACAGAAACAGGTCATCTTAGAGTTATTATGTATTCATGTGCCTTACTGTAAGCTGATGAAAAACAAAATATGAAATCACAAAATGGTTTCCATGGTTTGGCAGAATTGCACCTGTGTGTAGTGTATGAACAGGTCTTAAAACACATGCTAGAAATTCTGTATTTAGGAGCCAAATATCATAGAAAACAAGTACCATAATATGAAATAAAGCCATTTCCTAAATGTTATTAGTTTGCCTGTCTTCAACCACATATCTGAACTCCCATTATTTTCATTTTAACAAGGCTGAAGAGACTCTTTCTTCATTTATAGTCTTATGCTTTTTTGATGGTTTGAATTACATTATAGTATGGAGAACACATAATAACTAAAAAATTATCAAATAATTTTTCATGATGATACTGAACATATGATAAGCAATTTTAAGTGAATCTCTTGTCTCAAATGACAAGTGAAAACACATTCTCACTTCTTACATTTTATATTCTGTATCTTACCAATGTTAAAAATGCTGGAAATTTGTTATGTTGCATATTTTCATGAAGTGTGTGGTTTTTGTTATGTTTTGTTCACTGGGCAAAATTGCTTAAAAGGAAGTCATCTCCTCAATTGACAAAATTTTAAAATAGGAATTTCATTACATTTTTTTCTTTACCAAGTTTAATGATTGTTTATCCTTATATGAAATTTTTGTATACACTGTGATTAATGTCCTGTTTCTTCAGAATGTCATAGGATGGTTTTATTTATGTGTTGCAGATTGCCTTAGCTTTGCACTTTAGCACCACCTGGTGGAAAAATACCATTTGTTTATTTTTTTTCTCTACAGTTTAAAATAGCCCCTTCACATATTATATCCAATTACTACACATTTTAATAAATATTTAGTTGCAAAAGTTTTAAGTTTTAAAGGTCATTGTAAACCAAATAAGGTAAAAAAATGAGATGTTTTGTAAGTACTATTGCCAACTTAAATGCTTGAGTTTTTTTTTTAACTTTATGAATATACACAGAATTTAATAGTGTTTTATATTCATATGCAAAAATTTGCTCAACACTTTAATTATTTATCATTTATATTTTTTCTCAATAAAAAATTAAATAAGATCAAGAAGTATTCCATGTCCTAGTAGCAGATTGTGGTTTAAATTAGATTGTCTCCCCAATATGCAGGTAATCATTTTGTAAACACTTAGTGAAGAATTTTCATACTATTAATTCTTACCATGTTCTTAATATATGCAAAATTAAAACTAGTATTTTAATGTATATTACTACAAAATAACCCATTTTCACACTCATTTTCCCCCTTATAGAAAAATCAGTGGTGATCTTATATGTTTTAGTTCTCAGTTTTTAATAGCTTTTTGAATTTTCCAGAAGATACATTTGATAATATTTTCAAATGAAAAACACAAATATATTTAAACTAATTTTGCAAATTTTGAACATGTTAATTTTTGTATAGTCCCACATTTCTATGAAATATAGTGAAATATATTTCTGTAAAATACAGTGAAGAAGATACACTCACAGATTCTACTGTGTCCCTAGGGAATACACTACTTATCTATTCCCTGATAAAATTGGGGTTTGTAGACTTGAATTGTGTGACATTCAAAGGCTTAGTAGCTACATAAGAGCTGTTAATATTTAAATAGAAAATATGTTCTAGCCTTTTACCTTTTATATGTCATTTAAGATGAAATTATAACAGATAACAATCTTCAAGAAGACATGCATCTTGAACTGATGTTATTTACTTTGTTACATCAAGAAACACTTAAAATCTTCTCTCTGTCTCTTCTTTCCGTTATCTAAAGGCCTTGGATGGCATACCGTAAATGCAGCATATGGAGATACCATTATCATGCCTTGCCAACTTGATGTACCTCAGAATCTCATGTTTGGAAAGTGGAAATATGTAAGTGTGACTAGGTTAATTGCCTCCGGTTTTTTTATATAAAATTTTTAAATAAAATTCTTTCTGTGAGAAAATGTGAATTTCAAATTAACCTAATGGGAATATTCGACTGTGGGTACAAATGTAGGAAGGTAGAAGGTTGAATATGTCAAAGAATAATTTCTAATTCTTGCATGGTGAATGGTATTTTAAAATAAAGCTAATAAACATGTAATTCTTAGATCAGGTTAGTCTGAAAGATTCAACCTCAAGTGTTAGAGAAAAAGGCAAAGTTCCAGAATAAAATCAGTGAAGTATAGGACAGAGCTTAGCAGAGGATGGCAACCTTTCTCCACTTGCTGTGGTCTGTTCGATGTGGCTATTACAAAGGCAAGATATAGCAGTATCCAGAGCACTCAGATATTCGCTGTGTAGTAGTCAACAGCACTTAAAAGTTTGTTTCTGTGTTTCGCCTTACAACTGTGTTGATGTTGTAGGTCCTTTTTATGTTGAACATTGTTGATTTTATTCATTTTGTGCAGATAGTAAAATTATATTTTCTCAGTTATAGAAGTGCAGATTGGTCTGGTAATGGAGGGTAGAGATCCTGGGAGATGGACGTGGAATGGCTAGGTATTACCAAAATCAATGAAAGATGTCTGTGGTACAGTTTCCCAGTACTGGACCACTGAAGACTCATGGCAGTTGCAAGCTTCAAATAGATACATGTTTCCCTAGACAAAATAGCAAAGTTTCCCTAGCTCCTTGAAATGTTAAAAGGTATTTGTATAGGAAAAGAATTTGGTGGTCTAATAATTTATGAAAAGTTTCTTTCTTGCAACACTTCTCAGAGCCTTTCATGCGTTAAGACACATTCTGAATTGTCTGAGGATCACAGTCCGTTTCATTCCTTAGGTTTATTTCACCACACAACTTTTTTCTTCAGATATTTCTGAGAACGAGCCATCACAGAACACATTCTTGGAAATGTGTTTAAGGTTGCACTCAAGGGGTGATCGAACACAATCTTTTAAAATGTGGGTCCTGAAGTCACACCAGCAGGTTCTACCATATACTTGCTGCTGAGCCATCACAGAACACATTCTTGGAAATGTGTTTAAGGTTGCACTCAAGGGGTGATCGAATACAATCTTTTAAAATGTGGGTCCTGAAGTCACACCAGCAGGTTCTACCATATACTTGCTGCTGTGGGATTCCGGGCAAGGGCAAGTGAATTAATTAATCCCTACTTTCTCATCTATAAAGTAAGATATTGTTATGAGGGTTACATGAAGTCATTCATATCAAAATACTTACCTAGCACTTCACATGTGGTAATCACGTGAGAGTGTAAGTTATTATGACGGTGGGGCAGCAAAATCCTAAGCACACGGTGCCTGTGTGAGTGACATGTGAATGGAAAGGAAGGAGGCGAGGCAGCAGAGCAGCTCTCTGGACTCATCATCCAGTTCACTCTAGGCAATTCTGAACTATTTCTGGTTTCCTAACTAATGCGGAAATTTGAAGTTAAGGCCTATGAGCACAAAGTCTATTAGCACCCTTAAAATTCCCAGGGCCTAGGAGACTACCACATAATTCACCTGTTGAATTAAATTTGCTGCCAAAATAAATGGAATCACGTGACAAAAAACTTCTGGGATTGTAGAAAATTCTAACTATAACCCAGAGAGTGATTTTCACTTGAACTGAACTGGCACAATGGTACTGGAAACCAAACAATAATGGTAATTCTCAAATTGTTAATTAAGCAAAAAACTTCAGCAACAAACTGAGGTACATTTGAGGTATTATTTACTCTAAAGTTCGTCTTGTGTTGCAGAAATAGTATGCAAGCTCTAATTTAATGCGACCACCTGAAAGACAAATGGAAGGTTTGGAAAAAATGAAAGGAAACAGATAGAGGAGGGACGATCTAGTTTCTCTCCCATCACATTGTAAATAAACTCCTTGTGAATGGAGATCATAGTTCCCTGTTGACTCTTCCCAATCTCATGCCTGCTACCTCTTCACCAGCCTCTGCCACGGTGCCTGGGACAGAAGAGCTATCTAACAGTTATCAAGAGAAGAACAGTGTAACCCTAATGGAGCCAGCCTGCTAAGCTCAAATCTCAGATCTGCTTAGATTTACCAGCTGGGACCTCCAGAAGTTATTTACACAAATGCTGCCTCCATTGTCTAATCTGAAAATGAGACCAATAACTCTAACTTACAGGTTGTGATGAGTATTAAATCAATTAATTACTGCACGGAAAGCCCAAAGAAAGCATCTGCCATATAATCAAGGGCTCAGAAATTAATAACTAGTATTTATTGCATGAGGGAATGAATACAAAAACTTAAGGTACAGGTCTAATATATTTTCCCTAACAAAGGAATGATTTAAGGCAAGGATTTGCATTGTAAACCTGTGATAAAACTAAAGTTTTAAGAAGAATATTATTGATAATTCTGATATTTAAGCAACTAAAATTTGGGGCTCCAAGATTAGGTTAATAATCAATACCAGTAATTTTTAAAATTTAAGCCCCATAAGATATTACAATTTGCCATGCCTTTTAACATGTTTTATCACACTTTATTTTCTCAAAGGTCTGTGGGGTAAGTTAAGGAGAGATTGCCCCCTACTTTAGATTAAATTGCTTATTAGGTAAGGGAATTTTTATGGGACCAGAGAAAGAAATACATCATATGTCTCAGTGTTCTTGGCATAATTGTGTATACTACACTATGTCTTATTTTGATAATAAGCTTTTCTATGAAAGACTTTTGAGCTAAGTTTTATGACTCAGATAACAAAACTATAGATTTCAGTGGTTAACGAGATCCTATTGCTTAATTGACATGATTGTTTTACATGGGTAAATAATGTTCCTCTATGAAGACTGATTAAGTATGTTACATGTCAAGTTCAGCTACAATAGTTTTGGTTGAAAGGCATGAACATTTAAAGTATGTCATTTAAACTAAAGAGTATGCCACAGGTAATTGCCCAGGATATCTAAAACAGTATTTGTAGCCCAAGTAAATGCATGCTGTGATGGTTATAGTTATATGAACCTCATTTTATGTATTTGTATGTTTATTTTTATCTATTTTTTTTATTTTATATTAAACCTGACAGCCCTTGTCAGTTTCAGAATGGTCACTAATTCTGTCTTCCTGATGCAAGATGAGCTCAGATTTTTAGAGCTCTATTCTTCCATTTTCACATATTTGAACCAATACCTGTGAATGAACTTATAACTTCTCTTCTTATGAAGACTAATTTTTTGTAACCAAAAATGTTTGTGAGGCTTGTATTCGAAACTTATTCTTCTTGGACAAAAAATATAAATATTGGTGGAAGAATATGGCCAAGGAAATTTTGTTATTCTGGTTATAATCCTGAAACATCTGAATATGCTTGTTGTTAAAATATGCTATTATTTTAATTTTTAGGAAAAACCCAATGGCTCCCCAGTATTTATTGCCTTCAGGTCCTCTACAAAGAAAAGTGTGCAGTATGACGACGTGCCAGAATACAAAGACAGATTGAGCCTCTCAGAAAACTACACTTTGTCTATCAGTAATGCAAGGATCAGTGATCAGAAGAGATTTGTGTGCATGCTAGTAACTGAAGACAACGTGTTTGAGGCACCTACAGTAGTCAAGGTGTTCAGTAAGTAGTCAGCAGTGTAACTGCTAAGTGGGATTGATGGCTAATAATAAACATGTTCTGTAGGAAGAAGACTGCCACTGTAATGTCCCTACAGCAGGCATCTCTAAGAGGACGTCTAGAGATCCTCATTCCACTCCTGAGTGCTGTCAGTAAGGAAAACAAAAAGTCTGAAATTCAAATAGGAGACTTACAGTGAGGAACTAAAACATATTCTCTGTTGTTTTGTCATGTAAAATTTCCTAAGATATGAAGTGCTGTTAGTGATAACTGACACATGATCTTTAACTTTCACTGATTGTTCTAATAAATATCTTGTGATATATACATAAATACATGATACATATATTAATCATGCGTATCACACATACATATACATGTATTAGGCTAAACTGTATGAAATTGCCATTTTGATATATAAAAACTATAAAATACAGGCAAATTCAAACTATCTTTTAACTTCAAGATCTAAGCTTTCAATATATATATTACAATATTTTTATATATAAGGCATATTTTCTATATTAGGCATCCTGACCTTTAATGCTTATTGATTTAGACTTCAAAGTGTTCACACTTGCTTTAGAAAGTTGCCCTAAATATAAAAAAGCTCACCACACCCTGAATGTGTATGTGGGATACACCAAGGGAAGAAAGTAGAGTAGGGTTGGAAGAAGAGAAAATTGTAGAAGAAACTTGGAGTAATTACTGTAGTCACTATGGTAAAGTTACTTTGTCTAATGATAATATATAGTTAATGTTACTGTGCAAATATCTATGCAAATGAATGACTTGAGAAGTTGTAATTAAAGCATTTCATCTTTTAAAATTCAAAAAGTCCCACATCAGTTACATCATAATATTTGGAAATTATAGGAGGAAAAAATAGGTCTCAAAAGTTTCAGAATGCCAGTCTTTTTAATTAGGAAAGAAGGTCTCACTTTCCAAATTTTTTTCCTTCTGCTCTCTGATAACTTGACAGTACCTAGAAATTATTAAAATAAATAGGGAAGAAAGAAACCCAGAGGGCCTTCCGACTACAGCAAGTAACCATGGATTTTTCCTGTTTCTCTTGTAACAGCCTATGCAACTAAGTAGGTCTGTTCCTTAAGTATTTATGTGGACTTCAAAGCTCCTATAGACTCTGATGCAGATTCAAAGAGTGCTTACACTATCAAAAGAAACCTTTGTTCTCTGAAAGAACCTTGTAAAAACATATTACATGTTTCAGTTGATTACCTTTCAGCTCAGAAGGCACTTTCCAGAAACCATCCACACTTCTCAATCATGTCATGAATCAGACCAAGTACTAAGTGTTTGCCAGTCATGCCAACTACCATGAAACACCCCAAGTAATCTGCATCTTGCATTTGCCAGTGGTCCATGGAGTTTTCTTTCTTTCATGTAGTCTTCTTTCTAACTTCACTTTAATGTTATTAGGAAGATAGATGGTGTATTGCTTAAAGAGGGCAACCAAAACATTTTTTATTATAGGCTATGATGTCACAAATAGAACCAGACATCAAAAGTGTTCCACTGTAGTTACAGAGATTAAGTTGCAGCACTCTAATGGTTGTGTGTATTAATTTATCATTGTCCGGTTTCCTTTTTACTGTGTTAAAATTATCAAATATCAAAGTAGAATACAAGGAAGTTGAGAAAATCCAGGTTGTTCCATTTAGAAGAATCATTTGTGAAATTTTTTTAAATATTTTTTTAAATGCCATAGAGAAATCTGAAAGAAAGATTAGTTAAAACTACACTTTGTCTATCAGTAATGCAAGGATCAGTGATCAGAAGAGATTTGTGTGCATGCTAGTAACTGAAGACAACGTGTTTGAGGCACCTACAGTAGTCAAGGTGTTCAGTAAGTAGTCAGCAGTGTAACTGCTAAGTGGGATTGATGGCTAATAATAAACATGTTCTGTAGGAAGAAGACTGCCACTGTAATGTCCCTACAGCAGGCATCTCTAAGAGGACGTCTAGAGATCCTCATTCCACTCCTGAGTGCTGTCAGTAAGGAAAACAAAAAGTCTGAAATTCAAATAGGAGACTTACAGTGAGGAACTAAAACATATTCTCTGTTGTTTTGTCATGTAAAATTTCCTAAGATTCTATGATCGTGAAAACAAATTCACACCTCACATACTGCCAGCACCCCCTGCCCCCTTCTTTTTTGAATGTTGTTGAAAACAAAGTGATTCTCAGAAACAGGATTTGCATTCCAGGCTGTGGGCCAGGGAGAATTTACATAGACAAGTTACACACTCTTGAACATGGTATTTTATACAAGAAACTGTGAGACCCTCCAAATCCAATAAAATGAGCAGCACAGCTCATGATAAAGACAGTGTTTACAAGAGCATATAGGGGCTTTGCTGTAAAAAAAATAAATAATTTGCTCTGAGTCACTTTTTGTGAAGCAAACAGCAGCTGTGACAGGGAGACTTTTATTCTATGCATGTATATGCGGCAGTCACTTAAGAGTTACCAGGCTCATCAATCAGTCCCCTGTTTCCCTCCATTGAATCACCTAGCAACGTGCACCATGTACCGCAGAATCAACAATGGTGAATGTGAGCCAATCCTAGTTCAGCCTGCTGCAGATTGCCACCCTCATGGGCAAAGTCAAATTGTTAGTATTCAAACTAGAGGCCGTGACTGATGACTTTGTTTAGTTTTAAGCTATACCTCAGATGCTAAAAATCATTTCCATAAACCAGCCTGGATGCAAATAAATGGCATGCTCTGTCACCACCAATCAGCTTTGTGTGTGTGTGTATGTGTGTGTGTAGTTGAATGACATCAAAATCAAACTGTGTTTGCATTTAGTACGCATTCGAGGTTAATAAAACCATTCAGAAGCAAGAGTAGTCCTTTAATAGTTCCCAAAGAGTCATTCCAGTGATTGTGCAAAAGGCTTAGAGGTCAAATGGATGCCCAGAGAGCCAAATAGCTGTTAGTGGTGAAATGAAAAAAATCACTGAGGTGGTCACCAGGAGACCTCGCTATGTCAGATCTGCTGTTAATTTCTGACCTTGGGCAAGTTACTTCACCAGTCTGGAGCTAAAATTCCCTTCTCATCAGTAAAATGAAAGCTTTGGATTAGATGGGGGGTTTTCACCTTCTGTTACTAGGATCCTCCTCAGGAGCTAAGGAAGAGAGTTTAGGAAGGTGAAGAGCTGCTTCTACAATATTAGGTAGATTCTGTCTATTCTGTATTTCAAAGTTTTTCGTGATAATTTGTGCATTAAAAGGGGACTGCCTCCAGATCTAAAAAAGCATTTGAAAACCACAGTGCATGCTAATCTGCAAGCCTCTTCTACTCTGCTGGTGTTCTGTGGTACTACGAGGTAGATTGTTCCATGACACAGTCTGATGTACATGTGGACAGATTCTTTTCATGGTGATGGGCAGCATTAGACAGCTTTACACAGACTTATCTCAGAGCTTTCATTTGGATACCTTTCATTTGGATATTGTTCTCCAGGCCTTATCAGAATTGAGCATTTTTCCTCCCACCCTCTGCATGAAAGTTATTCAACCTAAAAACTTTTTAAGGGGTGGGGTGGAGGTGGGAGGGAGAAACAGAAAATGACCTGTTTAACAAATGTGACCTTTGCTGTATATTTCATATTGCTTCTTTAAATATATATATATATATATAAATACCTTTTTCCATCTCATGAGGAAAATACACCATGGTCCCATGGACACAATAGTTCATTTAAGTACCTCATGACTTATGAGGGGTGATTGCTGACAAGGTACTGAGAGTACTTTGAGTCAACATAACCAGTGCACCTGCCTTTTCTCGCTCTCCTCCCATATCGAATTGAGCTATCCTCTGTGGATTTTTATAGTCGTACTATTATGTGGTGGGTGCTACCGAGCAGCTTTGCATTCACCACTATATCCTCGCCTGGCCATGAGATGGCTGCATGATGAAAAATATACACTCCACTAAGTTGCTGGTTTCTAGGTTCTCTGAGAGCTAATGATCATAGTATTCAGTAACAATAGCCTGGGTATTAGAGCAAAAAGAGATTTATTTTCATATATTCCTCCCTGACCAATCTCCATCCCCTTACCACAATTTCCTTCTTCTCCAATATAAAAATGTCCTGTGTAATTTCTCCAGCTAAAACAAACAAACGAAAAAACGGTAGAGGGAAAAGTAAGGCTGCTATTTGTAAAATGTTTCAAGTTGCATACTAAATGTAGCTTAGCTTTTAATTATATATGATAAGACCTCAAAGGGTATTAATGAAAACCCTATAATAAATTCAGTTAAAAAAAAGATGGGTTGAGTCTTAGCATTATATACCATTGCTGTCATAGATATTGGCACATGCTATGTGCTGCTAAGGATATCAGCTTCCCCCTCCTCCAACACACACACCCTGTAAAAGTACTGTCAGATTTACAATGAACATTATATTAGATATTTTAAATCTCCCTATTCTGCCATTTTAAAGTACTGTAATGTGGCCCTGTGGTAATATAGCTCCTAGCTACTTCAATGGAGATAGCCAGGTCAGCAAGAAAGAAGAAAATGAACTAAGGCATGGTTCTACCATTTGATAAACGTTCAACTGAATGATTGAAGAGAAACTTAGTCATAAATATTCAGAAGCAAAATTTGGCTTAAATTAGTGTCCTTGACTAAATTACTTTAATAATGCAAGTAAATTTGTGGCATTGCTTTCCTTTTCAATTCTATACCTGGTTATGAATCCTTGGATCACATGAAGACATAATTCACATGAAGTTTTTTTTTAAATACTTTGGAATCAATATGCAATTTTGCTAAAATATTTGGTGTTCTGTTTTATGGTCCTCCAACTAATACCCATTGATTGTTACAACCTGATATAAGGCAAGATTACTCATAAAATATGTAGTTTATATAGAGGATTTAAAACAAAAATTTACTTTCACAATACTCACTGTGACCCTCTTCTAAATAGAAAGATGAATAACAACATAAAGAGGACTAAACTTTAAGCATCTTTCCATCAGGTTTTCTTACGTTTGCCACAGTTTCATTTTATTGAAAAGAGAAGGAATTTTGGAAAGTATTTATGGGAACAAAGTACACATGGTTGTGTGTAGAGACCAACGACTGTAACACACTGTTTATGATTATGTGTGCATTGATAAGACATCACAGACTTTACAAAGCAAAGTAGAGGTATGCATTCTATATAAGAGGAGGTATGCGCCAAATTGTTTTGGTATTTTACTTTGGTGAACTGGAAAGTAATGAAACTTGGCAAAACTTCACACCAGATCTTTGAATTTAGGCTCTAAATTGATAAAAGGTTTTCAAATCTTTCCACATATTCCAGGCATAATACTACTGAAGGAGAAACTAAAAAACATTTGCCCTTTTTTTAATCTGTTAATTTTGACTCTTAATTGACCACATTAATCAATTTAATGTTTTATGTCTCTAAAGCTATCAGGGAGGATGTCACTAAATAACTAATTTTGGTTCCCAGAGAACTTTGGCTTACTTACTCAAGCCCCAAGAATTTTCATTCTGTTTAAATATTTTGGATGCATTCCTCTCTCAGATATATTGTATATTTGCTTTTTAAAATATGGATTCCAAACAGAATTCAATATTTTATCAATAAATCAGTTTAACTATGAACCTTAATAGTGATAACATCAAGGTTTACTGATTTGTGGAAGCTTTAACCCCCACACCATATGTTTCACAGAAACTGGTGTCTATTTAGAAGGGTTTTTTGGTCATCTAACAATCAGTTGTCACTTCTTGTTTGTATTAATGTTAATGTTATGCTTTTCTATTTTTCTATATTTCTATTTTCTATTTTTCTTATGTTTTGTTTCCAATCAGTATATTGGAAACTGGATAATCATTGTAAAAATGGTATTAGTGGAATTGCATTTCTAGAATGAATAGTAAATAAGCTCTCCTATAATTAAAGTGCATGAGTTCAACACAGAAGCTGACATTATTATTATTCACCATTTTAATTTCTGATATAAAACATACTTGCAAAGGGGAAATTAACTCTAGATTTTAACCTTTTTTTTTTGTATACAGTCTGGTTATAACCATTTTGCTATTCCAAAGACTTTGTCTTTTTCCTCATTTTAATTTCTGATATAAAACATACTTGCAAAGGGGAAATTAACTCTAGATTTTAACCTTTTTTTTTGTATACAGTCTGGTTATAACCATTTTGCTATTCCAAAGACTTTGTCTTTTTCCTTGTTTTCTATTAATGGTCTGAGTAGGTAACATATCTGATAACTGAACACCAAATTGAGTAATAATTATACAAAAGCCGATTTAGTTTAGTTTAGTAACAAAATTAAAAGTATTAAAGATTGTAAACAATAAGACTATGAAAGAAAAAATAACCGGTTGCTTTTGTTTGTTTACATGAGAAGAGAATAATTTTGCTCCATGAGACTCACATAAATCAATGACAATGAGGCAATATACATTTTCTGTAAACTAATTGTGGGAGCTATTTAAAAGGCATGAAATCCATAATGAATTCCAATAATGGAAAATCCAATAATGGAAAGCTAGCAGCTAATAATAAAATAACAAAATCAGTTTAAATAATCAATTGTTGCTACAATTTTTAATCAATTGCTTCTCAATTCTCTATTAGAATTTATGTTTATAGAACTTTGTATATTTAAAATGCTTCTGTCCATTATCTCAGGATACAAATTTGAAAGATTTCCCCACATTTATAGTTTCATAATGTGATGACTTAAAAGGTAAAGTATAAATACTTAGGAAACTGGCTTCTACATCCTTAACTTTCTGTTTCCCATTATTTTAGAGCAGTGTTTCCTAAACTTCATTGTGCCCAAGGATCCCCTAGGAACTTGCAAAATGTAGATTTATGGGATTTTCCCCAGAGATTCTGATTCAGTAGGCTATTTGGGGCTCAGAAATCTTCCTTTTAAACAAGCACCCCTGTGATTCTGATTCATGTGAATTAAGCCTTCACTTAGTAAGTTGGAAGTCATTGATAAGTAAAAAGGGCCTATGGTAATCAATTAGAAATAATATATTCTATTAAGTACATTAACCTCTTTTTCACTATCAGATTCCTATTTACTATTTATAAAATATCCAGAAAGCATTACAGATACTTTATTCAAAAAAGTTGTAAGCACTTAAGATAATATTTAAGATAATAAAGCAAATATGGAGTTGGGGTAGACCTACCAGATTTCTTGAACCTAGATTAATAGGGAAATCTATCTTTTATTCTGTTGCTTGTCCTGCTTTGGGAAAATGAGTTAAATCACTAATGTCCTTTTTTCTTCCACGTGTAAAACTTTTCTCTACTTAACTTTAGAGCAACCGTCTAAACCTGAAATTGTAAGCAAAGCACCATTTCTCGAAACAGAGCAGCTAAAAAAGGTAAGAACTTGTTTTTGATTAACTACCTTTACTTAGCCTGATGTTAAGTGTCTTCTCCTGACCTCGGATGACAGGACAAATAAGATAAAATTTTCTCTTGTAGAGTTAAGAGTAATGCAGGTGCCAATCAGAGAGTATGCAAAAGGCACAGCGGGGACGTTGAGGAAGGTGGAAGGTGTGGTCATTTCTGGAGGGAGTATTTGAATAACCGGAATGTTTAATAGGGTCATGAAAGATGAATTGATTTTCTCCAGGCCAAATGCAGAAAAAGCTTCCCAACAATATTAAATAACAGGATGTGAAAGAGAATGGTATGTTTAGGAAACTTTGGGTGCTCAGGCAGAAGGCAAGAGTACAGTAAGAGATAAATCTGGAGAGGTAAAGAGAGATTGGATCATGACTAGCCTTATATGCCATGTAGGGAGTTTGGACTTTATTTTATCAACAAATTAAATTATTGAAAGGTTGAAGTAAAGGTGTGAGAAGATCCAATTTGAATAGTCAAATTAGCAGAGGTGTGAAGGGAAGCTGTTGAAGGGGAGGACGAAGTTCAAGTTCCACATACGGGCACACCAATTAAGTAGTAATCTCATTATACTAACCAAAACAGCTTATTTTTTTGTGTGTGTGAATGGGAGGGGAAAAAAAAGTCTGGAGTTCTTCAATCAGATTAAATTTTACTGCATACTGTTATTTGATAAACCCCAAATATTGGGGATTATAGAGTGTGATAAGTATATATATAGTATGAAATACATAATATAGTATGAAAATGGAGAGGCAGCCCTATTTTAACACTGTAAATGATTCTTGCATATGAAAATCTATGAACCATGGTAATAGTGAATATTAATGTAGTTATGCTATTCATTTAGTGTTAAAAATGAAGTGTCAAAATGAATTTGTAATGCTTTTAGATGAATGTGATTTTATTAATAGCAGCAGCATCTATTGCACATTTAACGATGGGCAAGACTGCATTTTTAAATACAAGATATTGTTTTTATACCAAAGAGCATGTATTCAGTCCTTAAGTTAGTTTTGGAAAATAAACTGCATTCCCCAAGGATTCTGGGGTTTCCAAACTGAAAGTCCTTGATTGAACCAAGGTAATAACTTTTCCTTTTCATTCTGCAGTTGGGTGACTGCATTTCAAAAGACAGTTATCCAGTTGGCAACATCACATGGTACAGGAATGGAAAAGTGATGCAACCCGTTGAAGGAGGTGGGTATGAGATGCGCAATAAATTTAGGTGACCTGTTTTGACTTTCTCTTGTCTAGACATTCATTAGACTATCCAGGATCTAAATATGTTGCCCTCTTTTGACCTATGACTCTATGCTTTGTTACTTAAGTATCCACTAAATCATTAAGTGATTTTTTAAACACCATTTTATTTTAGTCCTTGTGCAGAAGAATCAAGAGCAGAGAAAATGATTTCTGTATGTGTCATGTTCTAGAAGTTAATTAAAGTGAGTAGAAGATAGACAAAAATAGAATCCTGGAATTTTATGTCTCTGCTTCATGGTTTTTGAAAAGACATCCTACCTTACTACATGTCAATTTTCCTTCTTTTTATATACAGTTACAAGGAAACACCCACTTCTCAAAGATATGGTGAAGTTTAATTAAGAGTTGTGATTTTCCAGTAAAATATCATACTATTAGTGTCCTTTTTTTTCTTCAGAAGTAATCATAATTTTTAGAAAGCAAATGGACCCAGTTACTCAGCTGTATACCATGACTTCATCCCTGGAGTATAAGACAACCAAGGCTGATATTCAAATGCCATTTACCTGCTCTGTGACATATTATGGACCATCTGGCCAGAAAACAGTGCATTCTGAACAAGCAGTCTTTGATATTTACTGTAAGTAATTCAATATATAATTATGTAATATTAATGCATTGGAAATTAAGACAACCAAGGCTGATATTCAAATGCCATTTACCTGCTCTGTGACATATTATGGACCATCTGGCCAGAAAACAGTGCATTCTGAACAAGCGGTCTTTGATATTTACTGTAAGTAATTCAATATATAATTATGTAATATTAATGCATTGGAAATAATATTCAAATACTATTATTAATCTTTGAAATCCCAATCCAATTGCTCTTTGAATTCTGCTTACAACCTCTACCCCAAATGCATGGCATTCAAATAATCTCTTCCTCCTTGGGAGACCTATAGAATAAATGCTTACCCACCTTTTAATATCTTTCACTCTCTACTTTGTTATTTATGAGCATCTCTTCTGTATTCTGCTAGATGCTCAGTTCCTTAAAAATAAGATCGCTAACTTGGTTAATTCCTTCTGGTAGTACTCAGCCATCGCACACTGCTGCGAACTTCGTAGGAATTCAAAATGCCTTATGATCTTTTTCTGAATGAATGAATGATAGACAAATAGAGTCTTATGACTGACTGGCTTTCTAAATACAAGATTACCATTTTAATGAAGAGATTTATTTTAATAATGAGATGAATTGTGTAAGTTACATAGGATGTTATATTCCATGACATTTTGGTTAACTCAATCATAATTTAAAACACAGGATATTAAATTACAAAGGAACCTTCATGGTCATCTGTTCTAACTCCACTATTTTATCTAGCAGTAAAGTGAGACACAGAGACTTGCCCTAAATTAGCTGCAGAGATTGGAATAGAATCTTTTACTCCAATGCTGTGCTCTTTTTTGTAAGACAGGTGCCAAGATAATCTAATGATTAAGAGAAAAGATGCTGGTATTCCAGCCCAGCACTATCTATTACCGTGTGTTTCTAGAAAAGTAGCTTAATTACTCTAAATCTCAGTTTTCTTATCTTGAAATGGGGAAAATATAATACCTAACTGAGAGTGCTGTTATGAAGATTAAATGAAACCACAAATCTAAAATAGCACACTGCACCCACACATTAAATGAGTGTTATTAAGTACCATTGTCATGATTACTGTGTAATATTATCACTACATAAACATAGAGCTGGAAATTTGGGGGGAGGGATAAAATAAAGAATTTCATTATTATTACTATTTAAAATGAATCCAAAGTTCTTGTAATATGGCCATGTATTCTAGAATAACCTAGTACTTCTACATCTATTCTGGAAAAAAAGGCAAAAATGTCAGCTGAGCCTTTGGAGACTTTTCCCTCATCTACATTTCTATTTTGCTTTCCTGAGGCACACAATCTTATAAGGAACAAACCTGAAATTCCAAGCTTGCCCTAATATTAATGAGTTGTTTTGCCTTAAACTTAGTAAATAATTTCAACTTGATTTAAAAACAAGGATTTATAGTATTTCATCATATACAGCTTACCTAAAATCAAATTATCATTTCTGTAAGTGAAGGCAGAATTCTTTCTGTTCAAAATACTCAATTGGAAAGAACTCATCCTGGTGTAAGTGCAGGGGTACAAGGTAGGAGAGAGCATCAAGATGAGTAGTAAGAATTGTGAAATTGGCTTAAGAAAAAACAGGAATGTAAGCAAGTACCAGGCAGGCAGAGTTGGGTGGGCAGAGAACTCGGGTGAACAAGGAGGAAATGATTTTACCATGGTTGGTTGTGTAGGGTGCATTCGGCATGGCTTTTGAGAAGGCACAATGTATGCAGTGCTGGGCTTCATGGTGAAGACACGAAGGAGTTTAAGACATAGAACTGACACTCAAGGAGTTTACTATTCCAACAGAGAAATAAAACACCTATGTCAGAAGGAAATTGTCGATCGAGGTTGCAAGTGACAAGTTCCACAGGAACTCAGTGGAGAGTCCTGGAAGCTGAGATGCCCAATTACAGTGATTCCCAAATTCTAGTGTGCATCAGAAGAACCCAAAGGACTTGTTAGAACATAGATTGCTGGATCCCACTCTTGAGTTTCTAATCCAGTTGTTGTGGGGAGGCGTTTAACACTTTATGTGTCTTACAAATTCCCCAAAGATGCTAATGCTGTAGATCTGAGGACCACACTTGGAGAACCATTGATCTAGAAAGACTTCAGTGAAAACAAGGAGAGAGCGCAAGGGAAAGGAGAGAAGAGTGCATTCAAGAAAAATTAATTTGATGAATTCATCTTGAGAAAGCTTGTGAAAGATCTACTAGTCCACTCCTTCCTTACTCTCTATTCAATCAATAATGAAGTTTTAGAGAATATAGCTCTTTAATCTTTGTATTTATCTAATTTCTGCCTTCTGGCACTGCCTAAGTTAATGCCGGCATTCCTCATTGCCTGTATTTCTGCAAGGACTTCTAAAATAGTATTCCTCCCGTCTGCCCGCTCTTCTCTGCTCACCCCAAACTGCCCTCCAAGCTGCTGCCAAGGAAATGTCTTTTTAAAACACAAATGTAATAGTTTTACTGCTGTGATTAAAATTCTTCAACGACTCCCCAGAGCTCTCAAATTAATCTTCACACTCCTGATTGCAAATATGCCTTGAGTTCCTTTTTAGCCTTCGTTCTGCACTATGTTTGAACCTTCATTACTGCACCATACCCACTGTGGTCTCTTCTATTTTCCAGATTCTTCTGTAGAATACTACTTACATGCCTATTTATATGCTATCATTATCCTACCTTTATCATTAAACAAACACCTACTTATTTTTCAAAACCCAGCTCCAAGGTCAGTTCCTGGAGAAAAACTTCCCAGTCTCATATATCTATGGGCTACCAATGAGCCACATGCTTACACCATATGCAGTTTTTATGTTGTAGTAGTCTTAATCATTAAGTTCGGTATCATCATAAATAGAGTGACAGTTTATTGAGGCAGGGAATATGCTGTTTTCAAACTTATAATTTTAGCCCTTAGTACTTGCACAAAATAGATGCCAAACAAATGAACAAATAATGGGACAGAAGGATAAGTGAGTAGATGGAAGGAAGAAAATTTGAATAGACGATTTTGATTATTATATAGGTGTTTGTGTAGAGTAGTGAGATATATGATTCTCACATGGGCTAGGTTCAAGCCAAATTGTGAATACCATATTAAGGAATTTTTGTTTCAAATCTCTATATATTGGGAATGTGTGAAGGATTTTGAATATCATTGTAATATTCAAGTCACTACTTAAGAAAACTGATTCAGAGGAAATATTTATGAAAGAGTAGAAAGGAACAAAGCTCAAAGGAGGGACCAAATGAAATTTGATGAAAATACTTCAGGTTAATTAGGGCGTGAACTAGGGAAGTGTTAGTGGAGATAAAAGAGGAGAATTAGTTGTAAAATATATTATGAAGTATCAATCATTAAGTGTTGGTGATTGAATGGATAAGAGAGGCCAAAGGAGAAAGCAAGGGTAATAGGCAAAATGATAATTTACTAATAGGCAGAGTAAAATTCAAAGTCAAGCACAAAGGGGGAGCAAAAGGTCATTAATTTTGTTGTAGGCAAATTAGCGGGTGTCCAGAAAGTAACTGGTAAAGTGCAAACGTGTTGTATTAACCCTCTGATCACAGTTTAGTTCTTTGGCTCTCTAATACAGAGCAAAGCCTACTGAAAAGGGAGCACAAAGAAGGAGAGCTTTGAAAAAGAGGAGGAAGTCAGACAGATTGAGATCCCTGGAAGTTTGGGTGTCAGACTTGATCAGAAATGTGCCTCAGGGATGTGCTACAGGCCAAACCCGAGCGCTAGACAAACAAGGGCCACAAAGAGTGAGGGAAACCCAGAGACAGAAGGTCAGTGAGGAACCAAAAAAATGAACTTGATTTAGTGTTCAACCTTACTGGGAACTGCTGGTTAGGGAACTACCTCAGGGAAATCCAGAAAAACAAACAAGAAGTATATTAAGCCAATCACTGTTTAGCCTCAAAATACTCAGGGCAAATATTCAGAGATGCCCAAGCATAGAAGAAAGGCAAAGAAGCAATTTATAACAGCCCTTCTAAGCTTTTTCTGCACTTCAGTCGTAGAAAGGTAAGTAATTGACTGCAGGAGGTAGAAAAAGGCCTCCCAAACTGCCACTTTCTCCTTCCACTTTGCTAGCTTTTAACAGAACAGGTCTTTGTAGATAGATTCTTTTTAGTGCGACCAGTTTGAAAACATAGACATATGCCTTAATAGTTGTTAAGTCTTGTGGAAAAGTTTCTCTAAAACAAATCTTTGTATCATATGATTTCAAAATGCATGGTGCATTGCATTATCTAGATATATAACAAGTGGATAAATTAGAAAGTGAATCATTTATAACTGCTACCACCACCTTTTTTTATTTGCTATTTGCTAGATTTGGTCCACTGTATTCAGCCTTTAAGTTCTTTAGCATTTTACTGTTGAGTAGTAGCCTGTACTAAAGAATACCCTTTAGCCCTATTTTATGTGTAAAAATGACCAAAATGGAATGAAAGTTGCATCTTGGCTCCAATGAACAGGACAGAATTCATTACATTTACAGTCCTGTTGATTGTTAAGGGTCTCCCTCAGTTCATAGGATTCATCTTTTTGAAAGCAGATCTACTCTCCCGTATGCCAAAATTCTTGCTGGTATTGTTTAGCTCATGTCTCTTCTTTTTATTTAATGTAAGGTATTATTATGTAATATGAGTATAGTGGTTCCTAATAGCTTTAGCTACTTTGCTAGCTGATTTAGTCTCTCCAAACTATGTAACATAGTTAAATTTCCTTATAATGAAATTATACAGTGAGATTGTTCCTACTGGTCTTTTCCATACAAAATAATTACAGTCATTCCTACTTCAGTTAAAGACATTTTGCTAAGAAGAAATTGATTTTCATGTAACAGGGGCTCTTGGTAGTTTGTTCTAACTGAGATTAGTACTTGGTATAGCAAGTGGCTATTAACTTCAATCCTTCTATAAAAAGATACACTTAAGTAATTACTCTTACTAGCTTCTTGAGAAAATTGTGTAGAAGTTAGTCATTTACATCATGTGCAGAGTAATTTGGTACTTGATGAAATGGTTAATTTGTGTCTATGACTCTTGCAGATCCTACAGAGCAGGTGACAATACAAGTGCTGTCGCCAAAAAACGCCATCAAAGAAGGGGACAACATCACTCTTAAATGCTTAGGAAATGGCAACCCTCCTCCTGAGGAGTTTTTGTTTTACTTACCAGTAAGTGCTCAAGTGTTGCTTGAGCTAAACTTCTACCATTTTGTCCTGTGGTTGGCTTCCGGCCGACATTAAGAATTGTATGTACTTGGGTAGCTCAAGTGAGAAAGAATGTTATTCTTGGGGACCTGTAGAATGTCCTATGAAAGCTTTTTCAGCGTCTGCTAGTTTTCTTGCCTTTTTTCCCTTAATGTTGAGATATTTCAGGGACAAAGAGAATAAAAAGCTGACCACAGGAAACCATAACAGGAAAAACTCAAAATTTAATTATCCAAATAAGGCTTAAGAATATGCTCTTCAGAAGCAGATACAGTCATCCCTCGGTATCCGTGGAGGACTGGTTCCAGAATCCTCCCCCCATGCATTGCCCTGACCCTGCAGATACCAAAATCTACAGATGCTCAAGTCCCTTAGTCAGCTCTCTGTATCCATGAGTTCTGCATCCACAGATGCAGAGGGCTGACTGTAACTACGACATGGAAAATGATGACAGCAAATGGTCTGGTGTGGGTTCTAAGGCTACCCATGCTGTTGCCCTGAAATAGGGATAGTGCTGTGGCACATTCTATTGAGCTTGATAGAGTAATGCTGAGTTCCCTTTCTTGTCATTGTGTATACTCTTGACATGCCGCTTCTTCAAGTTTTATCCATATCATAGATGAAAGAAATGATATGCATAGAGGATACTTAGGAAATTTACCCTAGGATTTGTTCTGGATGTCAGTGATATGGAGTCGCTAGGAGAGAGCTATCTGTGGATGCCTGTTTGCTTAGCCATGGCTTTGTGTTTGAAGTCACCTTCACGTTGAAGGAAGCCATGTACAACTCCATACTGCATTTACTGCAGGGATGTGGAATTTCATCTACCACATTTACTCAATAGTATGGCTTTGTGTTTGAAGTCACCTTCACGTTGAAGGAAGCCATGTACTACTCCATACTGCATTTACTGCAGGGATGTGGAATTTCATCTACCACATTTACTCAATAGTATATAAGAATGTTGTTCATTACGTTACTTAGAATACTAGTATAAGTAACTCTTTTAGACTTAAATTCTGACAGGAGACTTTGTTTCTCCTAATAAATTGACATGCTGTTTTTGTCTCATTTGCAAATGGAAATTTTGACAATTAGGTTTTCACTTTGACTATCAGGGATGACAGAGACAATTTGTCTCAGTTTTAGCAACAATATTGGCTGATTATCTTTGTTCATTAACATATATTCCTACCTCATCTACATTTTCCTATTCTTAATTTTTGTTTTGTTTTCTTTTTACTCTTTTTTTCTTTCTCTCCTCCCTCTTCCTTCCTCCCTTTGACTCTCTCCTTCCTTCCTTCCTTCCTGTCTTTCCTTTTTATTTGGATATATGACATGTTTTCTTGTAAGCTGCTTTAAATCTTTCTGTTAAACTAGATAAAGCATAAATAAAACATACTTGACATTTTTTAAAAATCTGCTTTAAAGCTTAAACACAGCCATGCTTTCAATAAAATAGATGTCATTAATACAATATAAATTAGCTCCTCAAATTCCTTAGAATCAAAATACTAATTATTTCTCTAGGAATCAGATGCTGGTAACACAACCTGTACTCTTTTTTGTCCAATCAAAGAAACACTTTCCCCCTTTTTTTAATCTGAGAAAATGCCATCTTCATCAAGAAATACAATTGTTATCATTGTAGCTACCAAGGGTAATCATCTGACGTTTTGCCTCTATCAAAAGGGACAGCCTGAAGGAATAAGAAGCTCAAATACTTACACGCTGACAGACCTGAGGCGCAATGCAACAGGAGACTACAAATGCTCCCTGATAGACAAAAAAAGCATGATTGCTTCAACAGCCATCACAGTTCACTGTAAGTCACCTTCTTCTTCAATACCAGCGTCACTTCAAAGGCTTCTAATACTCTAATGCGGCTATCCTTTCAAATCAACTGCAGCTATTGCTTTCTGAAATAACTTGGTTTCAATAGACTCAGTAAAGAGCATCAGAGTAAGCTCCACTTTGGCTAGGTTTGCACACAATATTGAAACCCTGCACAGACCTGATAACGCAACTTTTGGCAGTGGTGAACTTTCACCTTCTTTCAAAATGGCTTCATTTGTGGTATCAATAAACAATATTCATGTGCGTCTTAAAGAAGTAGATCACTATATATTTTAAGAAAACATTTAGATAGTTTTGAACTTTACAAGGTTTGCAATTGGCCCAGAAAAGTGCAGATTAAGAATCTTTTTATTATTATTGTTATAGAACAATATGAACACTCAAACTCAGGAAACACAATGTTACTGTAGACTCACTTTTGGAAGAGGAAGTACAAACAATTAAAATCTATTTATTGGCTGAATAGACTCAGTACAGAAACATAAAAAATTTCTGGAAACAGAACCTCTTCAAAATCACCTTGAACATACTTTTTTAAAACTTCTAATCTGCTTTTGACCTCCAGAAACTCCAAAAGTTATATTTGCCCAATATGGTTAAAAAAGAGAGAGAGATACATAAAAAACAGACACTTACCTTGAGTTCTTTACTTTGTAATGCATATCAGTCTGTATTATTGATGTACCTGATGCATCAGGGAAATACTAAAGTAATTCACATTGCCCCCTGGTGACACTAACTACAATTCACAAAGTGCTTTGAGCAAGTGTCAGCCTTTCTTGGAGGTAAAGTCCAAACTTTCTAATAAGACCTTTGCCCCCAAGAGTACCACTAATAAGGTTTCCTCTAAACACAATCCACTACAATCCCATTGACTACAAGATGTTTCTTTGTTTCAAAATCAAAAGAGACTTTAGAAATTGCCTTGAGCACATGGTTTTAAATCTTTCACTCTATCCATAATGCTTGAAAAACATGTAGGATAGAAGCTAAAACTTTGAGGGAAGTACACGTGGGTACTCTGGGGAATAAAACAACCAGATGGTTGTTTTTGATTGTCTGGTGTTAGGATTGCACCCTGGAGAGCCTTGCAAAAACAGTGGACTGTTAAGAAATGTTCATAGCCAGGGCGTTTTGCTCTTTACTTCGTACTCATGTTGCATGGGTTTGAGTGTGTCTGCCATCAGAAGCTAGTTAGAGAGAAAGCAGTGACCTTTAAGCAAAGCAATAGAGCTACTTTTTCTCTGAGGACCCATCAGTTATGGAGCCATTTATCCAGACCTGTTTCATGAAAAAAAAAAAAAAAGAATGGTGAAGCAAAGGAATGCAGCCAACAGAATTGCCTGTGCAGTAGCTCTCTGATGTCATTGTTCATGATGTCTTTGGGTCAATAACCAATAATCCAGTGCATAGAATGGCGAAGCAAAGGAATGCAGCCAACAGAATTGCCTGCGCAGTAGCTCTCTGATGTCATTGTTCATGATGTCTTTGGGTCAATAACCAATAATCCAGTGCCTTAGAGATGGTGTGATGTCCTTATGTTTAAGAGATGCTAGGTACACAAGATCCTAAAAGGAGAGGGCTTTTATTTGTATTACTTGTACATTAGGCAGGCAAGGATAGATAGCAGAATAACAAGGCAAAAGACTTGGTTGCAGCCACATAGTTCCTCTATGATTAGCTGTGATAGAGGGAAAAATTAAACAAAAGTGTGTAACAGTTTAATTGGATTTCAGTGCATTTAATTAGATTGAAATGCATTTTGGTTTTGATAGGTAGACTGGAGCATTAGGTTTTAAGGCCTGTATTGCTCTTTAAAAGCTGAAAAGAAGCATTGCAAATAAATCAACATTTTACTCTAAATTATATAAAAACATAAAAATCCCATTTCTGTTCATTTATCCTTGATTGCTTGTTTGTTTTGCAAAGCAAGATTTGTTTCCTTTTCATAGATGACTAGAGAGAGTGTGGGCAGAGGAACACCAACCTACACCTGCTCATGTTTGCAGAATAGACCTCTCATCAAGTCTCTCAGCGTACACATCCCTAGTTGCTGATGAAACAGCTACTCTTCCTCTGCCAATTCATACACACACAGATTCTTCATCAGAACTTTCAAAGTTCATCATTATCCTTTAAAATATTTTATTTTCACACTAGCATGTTAATTATCTAGCTAATAAAAGCTTCTAATTCACCCTGAATAAAATTTTCATCTAAATATAATTCACCCAAATAATTTGAGGAAACTCCACTTTTCTATATGATTGTGCCTTTATTAATATTAATGACAAACTGAGAAAGCATGCTTCTTCTCTTCATCCTTCAATGATAGAGTTTGAGGGCATCCTATGTGACAGATGCTGTGGATATGTCAGTGACAAATCAAGGCATGATCACTACCCTCATGGAACTTTCAGTCTAACAGGAGAGACAAACATAAAAAAGGATGTTTCAGGGCCAGCCCCATGGCTCACTCAAGAGAGTGCGGTGCTGGTAGCGCTGTGGCCATGGGTTTGAATCCTATATAGGGATGGCTGGTGCACTCACTGGCTGAGTGTGGTGCAGACCACACCATGCTGAGGGTTGTGATCCCCTTACCGGCCAAAAAAAAAAAAAAAAAAAAAAGATGTTTCAAACAATCAACAAATTTCAATTACAACATGTAAAAGGAAGGAGAAACACAGAGTGCAACAGCAAATCCCTACCATAGAATAGAGTCCCCCCTCCCAGTGAGGCAAGCACGGTCTTTTGCAGTCTGGCCTCAGTTCATTGTATAGGTTTATTTCTCATGTGTTATCACCACTCATACCAGATTACTCACCATAGTGAAATCTGCTAAGCTCTCTCACCTCTCTGCCTTTTCTTATGTAGCAAAAGTGTTCCTTATGTCTTCACCCATCAAAGAAAGCCCTTCTCAATAATCAGGGGCCATGAGCATACAGTGTCTCCTGCAGAAAGCGTTTGTTACTACTTTGAAAGTCACTTTGGCTGTCTACACTCCTATAAATCTTTGTACCTCCGTTTGTAGCCCTGTCTTTAATCTTTCAACAAAATATTTATTGAGCTCCTATCCTGGAGCAGGTTTGCTACTACACACTGATTTCACAGGCTGTGTGTGTTTTACAGTCAGTTGAGTGCATATTACCTCTACCTCATTAAATTGTAAGCTCGTTATTCATCTCTGTATCTCCCATTAGTCCTTGGGACATAGTAGCTGTACAATAAATGTTTGTTCAATTGAATTGGATTTTCCTCATACAGTTCATAGTATGACAGTAAGAGTTTTATAGAAATTATTTTCCGTATGAAAGATTATACATCCTTAGGTACATTTATACCGTTTTTTAAAAATGATATCTGCTGACAGTGTACCTAACAATGGATCTTATTTAAAATTTCAACTGTATGAGAAATGGAGTAGGATTAAAAATCCATCTACTACTATAGTCAATTCTTTCTGAAAGAACACATATACTGTCTCATGGTTTTTCAGTTTATCACCTGCTGTCTAAATATACTTGACTTTCCAACATTATGCCTTACTAACTCTTTTTATAATATTTACCTAGTCATGATCTTTCTTTATTTTCTTCCAGAGGTAATTCATCTTTTTTTCTTAAGATGATAGACCCTAGGGGAATATTTACATGCAAATAAAGCATGAATCTTAAACTTACTTTGTTCATAGAAATTGAGAGAATGATTTGTTTTATTTAACTGCAAATAATTACATAAGCAATTAAATTGGCCATTCATTTGTCTAAACTGATCTTAACCTTAACCCTGGCTTGAAAAACTAGTCTGACTGTGCTACAGTACAGTTATTTCAGCCACATAAATCAGTTCTAAATTTTCCAGTGAGGTTAGAAGGATTTTTTTTTCCTTTCATCTTTTCATCTCCAAAATATTTTGACTATCTTACCTTCTTGAAGTTTGCATTTCAAGATTTTCTGCTTCACAGATTTGGATTTGTCCTTAAACCCAAGTGGGGAAGTAACCAAGCAGATTGGTGATGCCCTGCCTGTGTCATGCACAATATCTGCTAGTAGGAATGCGACTGTGGTATGGAAGAAAGTAAGTATACTTCCTGATACTGCCTTGCTGTTTGGACAGACTTCTCTTTAGGTTTCTTTTGTACTATATAGCTAAAAATGTATGTTCATGGATGTATTTATACTCCCACATTCATTCTCTCTCTCTCTTTTTCTAATAATATAAATCAAATTACAACAAAATGGTATATGCTAATAATATAAATCAATTACACAACAACAGCAGGGTAGCATTCATAATTGATGCTCTGAAACTTACTTTGGGGTGTTACTTTAATTATGTGTATATACTAGGTAGTCATAAACACACATGCATGGGTGCACACACACACCCATATTTGTGCACTTTAGGGCTTAACAATTTACAATGTGTTTAATCCACGTTATTCTTACATGAGGCTTACAATAACCATATAAAATATAAAGATCATTTATTAATTTCCCCACATTACTCATAAAGAAATTGAGACAAGAGAAATTAGAAAGCTCCTAAGTGACACAGTAGAGACTTGAAGTCGGACCTTACTGAATGTAAATACTATACTCTGGTTACGTGCCTTTTTGCCTCTCTGAGCTGAAACTACTTTTAAGTTTTTCAGAGTAGATCCCTTTGGATTAGGAGCTCCTTGAAGGGGTCCTTTTATTTCTCTGTACCATGGTAGAACACCTAAAACATGCTAGGAGCTTATTCAGTATTTCCTGGCTGCTTACATTCTTGTGATTATCTGAAATGTAGTTCATTACCTGTGGACCCAAACATTGTTCTCTTTTTATAATGAAAAAAGTAGAATTGATAATTGGTGATTTGAAACAAGGTTATCACCCAAAGAAAAGGTTGTGACTATGATCCCTCCACTTAAATCCTTGTCTAGTATTTCTGAACACCCAGTGTATTTGTTAGCAGAGCATGGCAGAGCACTTAGCTTGCGATGTGTTGAGAAAACACACACATCATTTGAAGTTGACAAGAATTGTCTTTATAAAAATATGTGGAGAAATTTATTGCTAGAGTTTCTTCTTAATAAAAATATAAATTATTTCTTATTGCTTTACTGTCTGCTTTTTGATCCCTTTCAATGCTAGATCCTCTGCTACTCTTAGAGCTCAGTTTCTCATTCGCTCTCTTCCAGCCACAGCTTCATCACAACTTCTTGTTCACTTAGGTAATTAAAGTGTCACTCCACAGACTTCACATTTAACATGATGTATTTGTAGTAGTCAATGGTCATAAGACTGGGTGAGTTCTAGGCAACTGGGCTACTCAGTAATTGTGTGAACAACCATAGAGCATTTTACTACAGGACTAGAGAACCTAAGTTTACTGTGGCTAAAGCAGTTTCTACATCAACTGCAGTCGTTGTTGATCAAATACCAAATGTATTCAATCATTTATGAGCACGTAATGTATTCAAAGTAGTGTTAATCAATGTTGCCTGACTATTGGTTAGTTGATGGGAAGTGGGAAAAAGGTATCTTAGTGGACAAAGACCCATATAATCTTAAGATTGTGTTTATTGCCTGCTCATTTCAAGGAGCATTTCAATTCCTGGTAAAATACGATTACTTTCTGTATAATAGATGATTTTTTAAAAATTAAATCTTAAATTTCCTTTGTTCATAGAAATTGGGAGAATGATCTATTTTAAGAATATCTTTAAACCTCATTCTTGTAATAATTGCCATTGTTCTGCAATAGATGCCCAGTATTGAGAACTGTATCTTATAAAATGACTTTCATTTCATCATTGATTAGTACCTCAAGGTCTCCATATTTGTCAATCTTAGATCATCTACAAATACTACAAGGAGTAGGTGCCATCAATTGAAAACTTTCCTTAATGTAAACACTTACCTTATTTACATAACTAAGTCCTCTTAGCATTTCAATATGATAATATTATTACCCCATTTCACAAATAAATTATTATGTTAAGGGAAATAAGCCAGGCACAGAAAGAGAAATACTGCATGTTATTACTCATAAGTGGGAGCTAATAAATAAACAAACAATAATAATAGTAATAAGTTGAATTTCCAGAAGGAGGGAGCAGAACTGTAGTTACTAGAGGTGGGAAAGGGGAAGGTGGAGGGGGAAATAGTGAGAGCTTGGTTAATGGACAAAAAACAGCTATGTAAGAAAAATAAGTTCTATTGGTGTACAGTCAAGCTAGGCATTCATAATTAACAATAATTCACTGTACATTATCAAATGGCTAGAAGAGAGGAGATTGAAGGGCCTCAACACAAAGAAATGATTAAGTTTTGTGATGATGAATATGCTAATTACCCTGATTTGATCATCACATGAAGTATACATGTATTGAAATTGAAATTCAACTCTGTACCCTACAAATATGTATAATCAATACACTTTGATTTTTTTAAAAAACAAAAAAACAAATAAAGGAAGCTGTCTCAGAAGTTTATGAACTTGTTCCAAACTATAAATTCACCAAATGAAAGCGTCTGAAATAAAACTCTGATAGTGTCTGACTCTAAAACTACAAAGGAGAAAGGAAATCTATTTTTGAAAGCACCTGAAATTAAGAAAAAGAAGATTGCATTGTTGTTATACCCAGAAGAATAATTTAGGCTTAATTATTATCTAATAAATACACTTAGAGTTATAATTGTGTCATGTGAGGTAATTTACTTTTTGTTTAATCAGGATAACATCAAGCTTCAATCTAGCCCATCATTCTCTAGTCTTCATTATCAGGATGCTGGAAACTATGTCTGTGAAACTGTTCTACAAGAGGTTGAAGGACTAAACAAAAGAGAGTCACTGACTCTCATTGTAGAAGGTAAGAAAATACTTGGGCACCAATTCAAATCTGTCTTTGAGAATTTAATACTGGATATCTTTTCTGATCTGAGTTTTCTAATTATACTATATTTTCTAATTATAATGATATTTTAGGAAAACCTCAAATCAAAATGACAAAGAAAACTGATCCCAGTGGACTGTCTAAAACAATAATCTGTCATGTGGAAGGTTTTCCTAAGCCAGCTATACAGTGGACAATCACCGGCAGCGGAAGCGTCATAAATCGAGCAAGTATTTGTCTTTTTGTTATATGCTGGACTTGTCCAATGTAGGGTTTTATTTAGGTACCTGTATTAGTCTGTTTTCTGTTGCTTATAACAGAATACCTGAAACTGGTTGATTTATAAAGAAACAAAATTTATTTCTTACGGTTTTGGAGGCTGGAAGTCCATGATCCGGGGGCATGCCTGGTGAGGGCCTTTTTCCTCGTGGTGTCTCCCTACAGAGTCTCTTAGTGACCAGGGTATCACATGGCAAGAACAGACTGAGCAAGAGAGTTAACCTTCTCACTCCCCTCCTTATAAAGCCATCATCACCATGTCCATTATTCCATGAATGGATCAGTCCTTCACAAGGGTGCAGTCCTCACGATCTAATCACTTCTTAAAGGCCCCACCTTTCAAATACCATAATCAAAATTCCCACCCCTTTAGCACTTTACAGTGGGGATCAAGCTTCAATACATGAACTTTGGGGGTAATCTTTTAACCCAGGAGTACCTAGACTGTATGCTGATGTGTTACCATATGAAATTTGCCATGTATTCTCAGAGGAAATTATTACTAACTTCTTAATTTTCCCAAAGGAAGAACATGGCTCAAAGAGAAATTTTAAATCCCAGGGCTATGGACATTGGAAGAACCATTATGTTGTGGTCAGTGTATGTTTTTAAAACAATGTAAATTGGTGTTGCTCCATGGTCATTAATTCCTGAAACTTGGGAGATTAAAACATTAAGGTATATACTTTTTTTGCAACATAAACTTATGTATCTGAGTATAAGTAGCCATCATTACTTTGCTTACTTATGTACCTTAAAGGATATCTCTTCTTAAAACTGGGCCCTGGGGGATGGTGAAGAACACAGTCACTGCCTGTGAACATATGCTGTGATGTGTCTGTTCCAGGGCAAGGACCAGAATAAGGCAAGCTTCAAATAAGAATCTGGAATGTGCCCTTCTGAACACAAAGGAACATAAACCAACCCTTAATATTTGCACATTTTGGGTAGACATTTTAGTAATAGTAAAGGCTCAAGAGCTTATAAACACTGCCAATAAATTTCTATTAATACTAAGGCTTTGACTAAAATAAATAAATAAATAAAACATGAGTATCTTTCCTGTCACTAGGGTTCAGAACTGTAATCCCACTAAATTGCCAATCTGCTTAGGTTACTATAATACTTGTTAATTCCATTTTCTCTATAACAGTCTTCATGTCCCCTCCTCACAGTAGAACCAGTTTAAGACACTTTGGGGGCATCCAGAAGTGCCATTTGATTATTTGAATCTTCTGTGCTGCCTTCTTTTCAGATTGGGACCCAGTTGAAATTTGAGAAGATATGTATAAAGAGAGCAAAGAGCTACAAATTAATTTTAAGTTAAAATCTCCACTCTTCCTCTCTCCGGGGAAGTTGGGCTGTGGTTCAGCTTTTGTTCACTATAGTTTTGCAGAGCACGGTGGATTTGGGCTCTTTCACCTATGGGTGATGCATATTTATCTGCATGACTCCAGGTAGGGAAAGCCCCCAAAGCAATGAGCACACGTGAAGCTAATGACTCCCGATTTGTTTAGGTGTGGGGGACACACAAGTGACAGAGCATGCCAGAAGAGGGCAAAGAGGTCTGGGCCCCTTAAACCTAAGGACATGCAATTTTGTTGATTCAGAATAAAGACCTGAACCACCCAAATTGCTGACAAAGTACAGATGTAATTTTTTAGCATTGAAAATGGCTTTCTTTTCTACTCTATTCTTTTTGCTCTCTAGTTCAACTAAATGATCAATGCAGCAAAAAAGAACTTTTAGTTACTGGTAACGCAGGCATCGAAAATAGAAAAATAAGCACACAATAAATATTTGATGAATGAAAAGATACAAAGATTTAAAACAGCACTCTAGAAATGAGCACATATATTTTAGAGAGATTAAAGTAACAAAAACAAAGACTCAGAAAAGTCGTATGAAAAAATCCAAGTGGGAAATGGAAAAATAGCAGGTGAGCTTACTATGAAGATAAAAGTAATCATGCCATTCTTCATTGCCAAGGAGAAAGATTGATTCCCGCCCACTCGGTGATATGTTACTTTTCTGGTTTTAGGTTTGTGCTGATCCATCATAATCTTCTATTTGTTCCTTCCTCAGACACATGGCAAATCTGTTATTTTACAAGTATGAGATATCTCTGCCCCTCCTCTGTCCCCAGGGACTAGAAGATTTCTCAGAGCATGAAACAAGCTCTTGTCCTCAAGGCACTTACAGGGCAGTTAAGGAGAATGCAAACAACGTGGAAAGAGAACAATACAAGGACATTTCAAAAAGTTCCTGGAAAAATAGAATTAAAAGACAATATGAATCTTTCCATGAACTTTTTGAAGTGCCCTCATACAGGAAATGGTGTGTACAAAATGACTGAGAAAAGTGCAAGTGTATATTTGTTTCAGTCCTATTGGATTTAGGAGTCAAATGCTGAGAATGAGATAAAAATGGATTGCTTCTTATGTTTGAAGGAATTAAATGCAGTAATTGCCCTCATTAACATCTCACAAAAATCACTGAAAAAGAACCTATCCTTTGTATTTAGAAGAGGAAAATTTAGAAAAAAATTGTTTTGTTTACCATGAGCAAATCATGCATACATTTGCACTTAGATATAATGGCTTAAAATAAAAGAATTAACCCCTATAGTAAAGAACAACGACCAAATTCACAAATAATTAAATTTGTAAGTTTACTGGGGAAAAATTGGTAATTACATAATTACTAATTAATTATTTTAAGACAAGTGCCATCCTGCTAAAATATTGACTAACCCTAAGCTTGCATTGAAAAAGAAGAGTTTAATTAATTTAATTACTAGAATTCACATTGAAAACATAAACAGAAATACCATTAGGGGTAACTGATCTTTTTCCTACCTCCTGTGGACATATGCCCACATCAGTCTCTCTCTATGATCTTACACATCCTCTTCAACACCAGACTATCCTACAGAGCACCACACCTATCCTATTTCATTCACTGTTACTCTTTCCCATGTTTTATAACCCGTTTTCATTTCTAAATCCATCTCCTTCCTTTTTCTTCCAGACAGAGGAATCTCCTTATATCAATGGCAGGTATTATAGTAAAATTATCATTTCCCCTGAAGAGAATGTTACATTAACTTGCACAGCAGAAAACCAGCTGGAGAGAACAGTAAACTCCTTGAATGTCTCTGCTAGTGAGTATTTCATTTCTGGCCTTAAAAAAGTAAGAAAATTTGAAGTTATTCTTCATTAGTTTAAAATCTTCAATTTCATCTTCCTGTACTGCATTATGGTAAGTTTTATTTATTTTGCATTTGGTATCATCATCATAAGGTTATCTTTTCTTTTTTTCTGGTGTCCATTCTTGTACTCTCCTTGTCATTTCATGTTTTATGGTTCAGAGACCTTACCCTGTACAGGAATATTTCCCAAGAGAAATATTACTCTTATTTAATCCTTGTTTTGTGGTGAGAGTAGAGATAATTCAAAGATTGTCTTAAAGCATATTTGCAACAGTTTTAAATTCAGAAAATTTTTAAGTCCATTTATTCTCATTATTTTGAATTCCAATTCTTTCTGATATTTATCCTACCCTTATTTTGTACAAGAATGTCATAAGCTTAAAGTCAGTCAGCAAATTAGTAGAAAAATTGGTGTCAGAATTTATGAAGTCTGGTTTCAAAATTGTTCCTTTTGTTATATGTTTGAAGCATAGCCAAAAATTAGTTAAATGAAATTATCTCAGAGAAAGTGAAAAAATCTGTCAGTGCTGAAATTAGGACAATACATACATACTAATAGCAGCTTCTTCTGAAAACAATTGTCGTTTAATGTGAAATTAATGATCATCTTCAATTCTGTTATTGTTCCTGTTGCTGTCAGTCTTACGTCAGGACTGGTTTATAATGAGGCTCGGTTCTGGACAGAATGATAACTGACCTGCCAAACCTTTCTTCTTCAGTCAGCTGTAATCTTGTATGTGACATTAGCAGGCTAGGGATAGATACACTGGCTAAGAATTAGCAGGAGCTAAGAGAAACTAATTGTCTAAAGATAATAGTCCCTAACAGATTATGACTGGAATATAAAGGCCTGATGACTTGACAGGAGAAGAAAACCAAACAAATTTAACTCTAAAATAGGAGCATTGACATCTCAGAATGCAATTCAGGCACCATTAATTTGTCCTACCTAGAAAGAGAACCTATCCTTTTTTCCTGAACGCCAAGTCTCTTCTTATGCTAGTCCATTGAATGGTGTGCTTCAGTTTCCTAGACTTTGCAGTGGCTTGATCAACATTTAATACAGTTGTTTTCAAATTCACTGAGCACCTCCTGAGATTCCAATTTAGTATGAAGAAGGGCCTGGGAGTCTGCATGTTAACAAACATCCTGGCAGTTCTGGACATGGGCCCATGCCCTTTGAACAATATTTCTATAGTTTTATATTAGACGATAATACACAACAGTGGTGATTCCTAAAATGGACCAAAGGCATAGCACTATCAGAGTCACTTGAAGGGTTTTTACAAACATCACATATGTTGCTTCTTAATATCTAAAGCATCTGCAGTTTTAATCTCTACCTCTACCATTTTGAGAACATCTCTAGTGATAAGTCTTTGACACTAGAGAATGAAAATCAATTCTATAGTGGGTCAGGAAAATTTGAGAAAATTTGAGAAACACTGCATTATAGACTTCATAGGTACCAACTTGTTCCTCTTAAAAAAGAAGTACTGTTTAAAGGTAGTAAAGAGTGGACAAATTAATATGGATTTCAGATTAATACTATAGCTTGTCAGTTGTGAAATTTTCTGTGGCTGGTTAACCTTTGCAGTTTTAACTACTCTTCTTTTCTTAAAACAAAATTAATTTATTTGTAAGGAAGGTCATGCTCTATTAAGTGTGAATTTTTTTACCCTTAGCTGTAGAATAGATATTTTATCTCTGAGTATTATTACATCATACTATTATGGTAAAGGTGACTTTCATATATCAACAAATTTTGTTTTTAATTTCATATTAACATTTTTCATTTCAGTAAGTATTCCAGAACACGATGAGGCAGACGAGATAAGTGGTAGGTACTATGCTGCCGACTCTTCTTCCTTGACTATCAGCTCAAGCTTTATGAAGTGTCATTATATAAGTAATTTTCTTAGCTGTCCACAATTTTGACTTGAATTAAAATACCAAATGAGACAAGATAGTAAGAATGTTAAAATTTTACCCTTTAAAGTCATGTTTGCATGTTAATCAAAGTAATGAGCATTAGTCATTTTTAATAAGAATAACTAGATTGACTTCTTTTTTAAAAAGATCCTTGGCATTGTCTGTAATTGTATGGACTTTTCTTCTTTGTTGTAGATGAAAACAGGGAAAAGGTGAATGACCAGGCAAAACTAATTGTGGGAATCGTCGTTGGTCTCCTCCTCGCTGCCCTCGTGGCTGGTATCGTCTACTGGCTCTACATGAAGAAATCAAAGTAAGTTGTGGAAAAAGAATCTTCATTGCTCATTGACTTGCACTGGGAGGAAATATAATGTGTTAATTGTGCTCATTCCAGCTGTGCATGCAATTACTATTATAAGAAGGACATATTCCCCAAAGCAGGTTGATCATATTTTGTTTCAGCTCACATGGACTGCACTGCCAACATCAGGGACATGGACTGGCATGTGATTTCACATGTGTCCTCATATTTTTCTCAGTCAATAGTCTGAATTCAATTATTCAATTTCTTTCAGCACATGGGTGGATTTTGAAAGTATATACTGTCTAAAGGTCAGGTATTCAAAATCTTTTGGTTGAAGTTGGTAAAGATTAATTAAAAGCGGCTAGTATGTTTTGTAGGGACTGCCTTTGCAGTGACAAGTCTGGTCAGCAATGAAACTGCTAATATCATATTGTCATTACTCCCCTATTCTAGTTAACTGTCTTTGCTACATATAAGAATCTATTTCAGAGAAAAATACATCATTATTTTGGCTTGCATTTTTAAAAGATGATTAGGCAAAGTACCAAGATTACTTGAAAAATGCTTTAGATGATGTTAGGATAAAAATTATTAAAGTCTTATAATATTACAATTAGTGTGAGACTTACAAATCATCTAACAGTAGTTTATAATGAAAATTTCATGAACCAATGAAGATTCTTAAAATATGCTCATGCCTAGTACTTCTCATTGCCCACTTCCAATCCTAGATTCAGATGTGATCGGGCAGGGGTGGGGTTCCAGCATTTACATTTTCAAACAGTTTCATCGGTGATTCTGTGTCATGTTCCTGTTTCAAACATGGGTTTTAACGTGCCCCCCCCATCTTATAAAAGAGGAAATTGATTTTTGCAATGTGATGTCTATAGCTAGTGGCAACTTTGGACTTAATTTTATATTTTCTTTATGTCTGGTATATCCCCTTTTAAAAGAACTCAGGAAAAAGAAAAAGTAAACTCAAATCAGGATTTGTGATCTCGTCCCATGAAGATATCAATTCCAGTGAAGCAATATTTGAATGGTGCTAGCATCCAAGGGAGGCCGTATCTCAGAAATTATGAAAGTCACATAACAACAAGAGCATGTACTGAGCTCTTTTGGTCTCAGAGCACAACTGTGAAGTACTTACCATTATTATTCATGGTTTACATTTGAAAAATCTACAGCAGAGAATGGTTAAATTACTTGCTCAAGGTTACACATTTTGTAAGGGGCAGAATTGTTATTTAATTTAAGTCTATGATGTTTTAAAATCTTCGTGCTTGATCACTAGTCCTTACTTTCTCTTGTTATGCTTATTTTCCCTCCTTTTGGCAAATAAGACAGAAACATTTTTCCTTTTTGTGTATTGTGGCTGATGCACATAATGTCCATTCTCGCACTGGGGGACATCCCTCCTGATCTTGGCACTTCACTCAGTTTTTAGGAGTCCCCACCGATACTTGGTAAATAAACTAAGTCAGGGTTCTCTAGATCAGACCAATGGTGTGTGTGTATGTCTGTGTGTGTGTCTGTGTGTGTGTGTGTGTGTGTGTCTGTGTGTCTGTAAAGAAAGATTTATTATAAAGAGCTGGCTCACATGATTATGGAGACTTGAGATGTCCCAAGATCTTCAGTCAGGAAGCCAGAGACCCAGGAGAGCCGCTGTGTAGTTTCTGTCCATATCCAAAAGCCTGAGAACCATGAGAGCTCATGGTATAAGTTGTAGTCTGAAACCCATCAGAATCAAGATCCAGGAAGAGCAGATGTTTCAG